CGTTTCCTGCACGCGCTGCGAAGCCATTCAAGTTCCCACTAACCCCCAGACTAGCGGCGCCGCCGCAGTTACACATAACTCATCGCCGGTCTCCGCCGCCGCCGCCGCCAGGGGCGACGACGACGACTCCTCCAACTACAAGCCACTCAGCTGGAAATGTAAATGTGGAAATTTCATTTACAACCCTTAATTCATATTTTAATTAATTAACCACACTTTTGAACCTCTTACTTAATTATTAATCCTGTATATATAAATATTTTTTTTAAAGTATAATATAAATATATTTATGGTGTGACAACTGTTGTACATGGGTAAATATTGATTGCATGTGTGGCATTGATAGCACTCCTACCAAACCAAAAACTGATCATGAAGGCAATCATACGCACCTATGATTTTCTGAGCATTTTTGATTTTGTACTAGAGATTCTGATTTTCTTTTTTGTTTTAATTATATTTCACAGTACCCAATAATAATAATAATAATAATAAATAAATATAATAATAACCCATCCAAGTGCGTCCAAAAAAAAGTAGGCTAAATAAAGTGGGAAAACGTGACATTGTGTGTTAAAAAAAATTAACAAATGCAGAAATGGTTAACTAAATATAGAGGAGGCAGATGAAAGATTTATTTCAACTGTAAAAAAGCAGATGGAGATTCTTTCTTTTAATCAGTATCTTTCTCTCTCTTCTGTATATGTATATTATGTAGTGATTCTAGAGAGAGAGAGAGAGAGAGAGTGGGGGGTACGTATTAGTTTACTTTCTGAAACAAATAATGCAAAGAGAACACGCAAACATGATATAGGTATGCATGCAGGTGATAGCTAGCCAACCTAGAATTCAATGCCTTCTCTTTTTTTTTTTTTACCCAAAACTGGATTTTATTTTCTTCATTTAATTTTCAAGATATTTTTGCTTTCCAAAGCTAACTTGTCATCTATTAGTAATTGATATTGGCCTTTTCATTTAGTCTGCTAATTTGAATTATGATGTCATTAATGTATGAATTATGATGCTTCTCCAGAAACGCAGGAAAATTTATGAAAAAGTTGGAATCACTGGTAAAAAGAAAAGAAAGGCAAGTAAATTTTTTTTTTAATTTACCCGATTTACCCACCTCACCAAAAACTCGGTATCATCAGTAATTGGTATTCGATACGGTGCAGATAGCACACCGGAGGGTGTATTTGTTAATTTTTCCTTTTTTTTACTCTCTAATTTATTAGTTATTCTTTATTTTCTACACTAACCCAGCCTATGATTTATTTGAACAAACACGAAAAAAAAAAAAAAAAACCCAATGACAATTGTATCTCGATGAAGACTTCAATTTGTTAGCATATTTTGGTTTGACAGGAACCGAATCAGTGAGAAACCGAATTCAATACGAAATAAAATCAAACCAAATTGTCCGGTTTAGATGGATAAACACTAGAAAAAATTTCTTAATACCGATATTTCCGACTATAAATTACACACACATACACGGAATACGACTATATGTTCAGGACAACCCCTTTTTTACCGTCCTCGTAAAATCTAGAATCCGGAAAGCCCTTATTGCTCCAACTTTTGTTGTGTTCTAAAATCGAATGTCTAAAAGCTTTGATGAAGACAATTTGCTGAAAGGCTGAATCAATTGCATCCAAAGTGGTTTTTGATTCCAAAACACTTTCGAATCAGACAACCGCCCCACCCACCCACCCGCCTTTTTTTCTCTATCCAAAGTATTCTCTCACATCTGAATTTTCCTAAACAAGATTCTGTTAATCTTTTTACGGTGAAGGCAAAGCTTGTACCGATAGCGAATGAAACACCGCTAAAATTACAGCCTCTGCCATTGACGGTGTGCAAAGATTCGGTGGTACAACTAATTTGTCGAACAGGAATACACCAACGAACAAACATTGAAAATCCCATTTGAGATCTGAATTCATCTACATATAGCTCAAACTAGTCGAAGTATATAATGTCGGCGTAATATATTCACAGGTGAATGTTCTTATCAATGGAGTAAACACGAAAATAACTAGCCCTATACAGATCTAGGAACATTAAACTAAAATTCAAGAACTACTGTCTACTACACAAGACCATATTTACGTAACGGAGTATATCAATCTAGTTAACGAAAGAAATGTTCTAACATATTTACGTTGCAGCAACAGTTAGGTACCAGAAAAAAACCCGACAGTTGCTGCAAGAGCACAACCAAGTAAGTAAATAAGGGAACTTGTCGATTCTTTGGCAATACAATGAAAATACACTATCTGAAACCAAGTGCTTAACCATAAACATGTATACTATACTAAAACGTCATCAAACGCAACCGTATCTTCTTAAACACTATAACTCAATTCTCATAATCGAACATTTAAATCATGAATGCATCCAAAACAATGGTCACCACAGCTACCGAAAATTATAAAATCTTCCATGATCATAAATACCAGGTTATAATTATTCGTCCACCAACACGGTTATAAAACAGCAAAAAGCATTCATTCATTCATCTAGCAACAAATATAAAAACCGCAGTGCAAAACTATAGATACATGTTCTAAAGCATGTACAGAGATAAAAACCTGGTTAAGAAAAAAACCCTGCGAAAGCCATTCCATTAGTTGTCCTGCACCCCAAATTTATCGTTACAATCAAACAAAACCCTCAGTGCTGCGACCATTGAATACTCTTGATATCGATACCATCCTTATACATCTCGTAAAGAGGGCTCATTTCCCTCAGCTTCTCCACCTGCTTCACCGTCAGATCCACCGCCCTATCGATTTCGTCTTCTGTGGTAAACCTTCCGATCCCGTATCGTATAGAAGTATGCGCCATGTCTTCCTCGACTCCCAAAGCTCTCAGCACATACGAAGGCTCCAAACTCGCACTCGTGCAAGCGCTGCCGCTAGATACAGTCACCTCCTTTAGCCCCATCAGAAGGCTCTCACCTTCCACGAACGCGAACGAAAGGTTCACGTTACCGGCGTACCGCCTCTCTTCACTACCGTTGACAAACACCCCTTCGAGCTTGCCTCGAATTCCGTTCAGCAGACGGTCTTCAACGCGGTTATCCTCTTCTCGTCGTACTC